GATCACACATCGTAAAGTGAAGACACTTTAAACCTGAGTGAACATGTTTGCATTGACAGCTCAGAGAGGACACCAAAGATTCCCCACAGACAACCAGCTAACTTCATGTGTTTCATACAGAAAGTAAAAACATGTAAATATTTCTACTGTTTGTCAAAGATTTGTACCTGATCAACACGTATAGTTTTATATAAAAATAAACTGGTTATACCTCAGCCCTGATCGTGTTTTTAAAAAGGAAAGTTATTTAGTTAATTTCCAAAATACACAAAGGAACGACGGAGGATTAAGTTAAAAAAAATAATAATTTCGAGATTAAAGTCGTAAATTTACGAGTTTAATCTTGAAATAAAAAATAAAATAAAAATGTAACATGGCTCTAATCCTCCGTCTTACAAAGGTAGTGTGACGTTGTTCAGTGTGTTTTTTAACTACAGCACTTCTTAAAAGTTTTTAAAATTATTTTATTTTATAAATATTATTTTGCTGCGTTTTTTTATTATTATTATTATTATTTTTTTAACCGTCTTTATTAACAAATTTAACATATACAAAAAATCTTTATACAAACTCTTAAAGAGGATGAACATACAACAGCAACAAACACAGGAACAAGTTAATTTAAACATAAATTAAGACTAGAGGGGATTATATATAAAAATAAAGAATAAAAATCAAACTTTTCCAAAAGTAAATATCAGGCAGACAACAAACTGGAGGAAAGACAAAAAGAATCAACAAGGGCCAGAAATCAAAACAACAAGAACTTAATTATTTCGCTACCGAGCGACTCGTAACCATAGCAACACGGGGAAGTTACCGAGCGACTCGTAACCATAGCAACACGGGGAAGTTACCGAGCGACTCGTAACCATAGCAACACGGGGAAGTTACCGAGCGACTCGTAACCATAGCAACACGGGGAAGTTACCGAGCGACTCGTAACCATAGCAACACGGGGCCGCACTCGCGGACACTGCGGCTCTGAACAAACTTTACTTGAACTTTTGGTGGGGCTGATTTTAAAAGTTTATGAAATGAAAGAGTCGCAGATTAAAAGTCACGGGACTTACATCCGGGGTCTGAAGCACCTGACGCTGGGAGGTTGACACCTGGTGATTTAAAATCTGTAACTTCTTCAGGTGGATTCTGAAGGTAAGCTCTCAGCTGAAGAGGTGAGTGTATCTTTTTATTCGGTGTTCGTGTCTGTGGTTCAATAAGTGTTTCAAACCAACAAACTTTTAATATCAAATTAAAACAGGAAACTGTTAGTTAGCTCATGCTCAAGTACAGGTTTTTATTTTAGAGAGAAAAGGAGCCACAGGTCGGACTTGAACCCGCACCGTCTGCCAGAGTGACCACAGCTTCTGCAAATGGGGCACGCACACCAACCACTAGGCCACCGTGCCCCTTTTGTATTCAAGTATAGTCCCTGAGTAAGCACCTTTAGTCTTTGTGGAGCTCCAAACAGAGCAGACAGTCGAGCACCTGTTCCCAAAGTGGGGACGGGAACCCCCCCAGGGACAGGGACCCCCGCAGGGACAGGGACCCCCCGCAGGGACAGGGACCCCCCCCAGGGACAGGGACCCCCCGCAGGGACAGGGACCCCCGCAGGGACAGGGACCCCCCCAGGGACAGGGACCCCCCCAGGGACAGACTGGGGCTAATTTTGGACTTTTTCCAAAATTTAGGCCCACAGCTGATACATGATTTCGTGTTTAAATAACCACTTGCCATCATTTCAAGATACAATCCCACAAGCCTGCTAGACTGAAGATATTCACAGATGATAACATTTAACAATCAGTGATTTATAACAAAACAAAAGTATTTCAGAACACTCTCAAAGAAGGCTAACCTAAATGAACTTGAACTTGGAGGATAGAAACTTTGTTTATAGGTTGTTAATGAAAATGTACTTAAAGAAAAGTTTACTCATCACTGGTTTCTGCAACTCTATCCATAAAGAGCTCAGTGTCAAGGGACATTAGGATGTTCTTTTCTGTGGCCATATTCAGCCTGAACAAATGATTAAAAATATATATAAAAGGCTTTAAAAAGTTAAGCTTACAAAAGCTTAAAGTTGTATATAATGACTCCCTGAGAATACTGTTTAAAAAACCTCCATGGACAAGTGTGAGTGAGTTATTTTGTGATGAAGGAGTAAACAATTTTCAGGCTCTTATGAGAAACTTAATGTACAAATGTATCTGTAGATTGAAGGATTCTCAGAATTCCATCATTATGCTGTTGACTAATCCCAGTCATAGTTCTGTGCGATACCAGTCATAGTTCTGTGCGATACCAGTCATAGTTCTGTGCGATACCAGTCATAGTTCTGTGCGATACCAGTCATAGTTCTGTGCGATACCAGTCATAGTTCTGTGCGATACCAGTCATAGTTCTGTGCGATACCAGTCATAGTTCTGTGTGATACCAGTCATAGTTCTGTGTGATACCAGTCATAGTTCTGTGTGATACCAGTCCTCCTTGTGGTGACACTGGTACAGTTGTCTTTTATAATGTTGGTGATGTTTTGTCTGTATGTGTTTTTATTTTGCTTGTTTTTTATATGTTTTCTGATGGACTCCTGAGTCTAAGATGATGATAATGATGATGATGATGATGATGATGATATATGTGTTGTTAGGCGATATACATAGCCAGTGGATTGTATAACATCAGATGTTTAAGAATTACCCTTAAATAACCTATTCAATACTTTGTTAATATCATAAGCTACCCTTTAATAAATGAAACTGTCCAAGCTGTGCCGAGGCTAGACTCTGTCATTTTTGAAAAAAGAGGACAAAACACAGTTGACACATATTGACTAAAAGCATGATAAACACTTCCTGGATAGTTAATACAAAGGTCTTATGGTAAGAGGAGTGTGTGTAGATCTATTCTGTTGGGATTTTATCCTGTGGGGGGGTACCAGCTTTTTCTTGACAAAGTGGGCGGGGCCTTAATGCCTCTGGAAAGAAATAGTTCCTCAGTGTGTTTGTGTTTGTTTTGATGGTCCTGTATCTGCTTCCAGAGGGTGGGAGGAGAGACAGTGTCTTAAAGCCAAATATAAAAAAAGAAGAAAGTGGTGACGATGGTGATACCCGGTACAACAGTAGTACTCCCCAGTCCTGATCGGGGGCTACAACCTCAAGAACATGGAACATCAGATGGGAGGATACTCGGAGAGCAGACGTCCTTCAAAGAAAAGGTGAAGCCAGCTAACCAAACTCCATGTGATCTGCAGAGTCCCTCTGCACCTTTAAGAAAAAGCTAAAGACCCAGCTCTTTCATGAATACCTACTAACTTAATGATGATGGTCTCCATATTATTGATGATGATGATGGTAATGACGATGGTTTTTGTTTGATAACGATGACTTATAAGATGGTTTCTATACTGATTAGAGCTCTCAAGAACTGCCCTCAATGTTGTGCTTTGCCTCTGGTCACTTCCTGTCAGCACCTGTGTGTCCAATCAGACTCAAAGCTGATCGTTTGCTCTTACTGACATTGTTCCCTTTTTTCTAGATCCTTGCTTGTGTTGTTCTTACTCTCTGATGTACGTCGCTTTGGATAAAAGAGTCTGATAAGTGAATTGTAGAATTGTAGCTACAGGACAGGTAGAGTGAGTCTGCATGGCGTTCACCTTCTGTCTGTGTTTTCAGATCTCGTTCTCTCTTTTCTTCCTTCAGGTGAAAAAGAGAGACCACGATGTGTTCACTCACACTCTCCACCCCACGCAGCACTTCTCCTGTGACAGTCCTGTGCGTTTCATGATGTTCTCTGAAGCCGCCGCGGCGTTCATCGGCCTCCACACCAACGGCTCCGTTTGCTTTTACACACCAGACGGCCATAAGCAGACGGCGTCGGCTCGGCTCGCCTTCACCGGCCTCGTCCAAACAAACATCTCACAGCGGCTCGTCGGCTGGGGTCCAGGGCCCGTCTTCACACTCTTGGACGACGAGTTACGCCCCCTGGAGGCCGCTCGGGACGCCCTGGACATACGTGTGTGTGAGGCCGCGGAGCACTCTGCAGAGCTGGTGACGGCGGGCGCCGGGAATGTGTGTGTGTGGTCAGTGACGCTCATGAAGTGCAGGTTGAAGATGGAGGAAGGGCTGCGGCGCCGGACGTTCACTCACATGGCGTTGGCTCCTCCACGGTTTGAGAAGCCTCACAGGGCCTTCGTTGTGTGTGGACATGTGGTGACGGTGGTCGACCTCGATGGCGGGACGGTTTTGGAGCACAAGACGGATCTCTGCTCGGGGTGCGTGCTGTTCTTTTGAATCTTTTTAGACAATGTGGAAATGGCGGCATATGAGTTGAACCTCTTTCTGTTTCAGAGATATCACTGCTGTGGCGTTCTGCGCTCAGCTTGACTGTCTGATCACGGCGTCCCAAGAGCGCTCCATTCAGGTCTGGGGTCCTGATTGGGAAGGCCGCGTGGCTTTTGAAGGAGGTAACGGTTTAGTGTTCATTCACTTTCTTTATGCTCCTTTAACCCTCAGACATCAGTTTCATTTACTAACCTCTGAAATCACAAAGGACAAAAAACTGATCTAAAAATAGAACAGATTGATATTTCTTTCTACTTTTTTCTGCATAAATCTCTTAAACAACTTCAGCCCTGCTCAAAACTATCAAACATTGAATAATTATCAGGAATTTAACCCTTTAAATGCCAGTTTGATTGCATGATTCTGGCATTTAAAGGGTTAAATTCCTGATAATTATTCAATGTTTGGTTGTTTTGAGCAGGGCTGAAGTTGTTTAAGAGATTTATGCAGAAAAAAGTAGAAAGAAATATCAGTCTGTTCTATTTTTAGATCAGTTTTTTGGAAGTGGACATGTTTGTCCTGAGTGACTTCAGAGGGGAGTAAACATGTTTCAGTGATCTATTGATCTGTTAAAAAAAATAAAATGTGCATTCCAAAATGTGTCGAGAGAAACTTTCTTACAAAAAATGTGTTCCATATGCACTAACAGACAAAATGATGGACAGATGAAGAGGAGACATTTGACCAAATGGACAAAAAAGTCCATAATGAGTCATGAGGGTTAAGATGAGGTCACTAAATGTTTTTTTCTGTCCAGGTGTTGTGACCTCTCTGTTCTTCTGCCGTCTCTGAACATGCTGCTGTCGGC